TCGAATTTTTTCTTTAACATCTTTTTGTCCCCGTTTAAACAACAATATTGTTGTGATTGACAATAATAATTACTATATTACTGTTAAACACAGTAAAATTAACTATACTACAGTTTAAAACAGTAATATTGTTATATTAATCTCGAACACAATAATATTAACACAACAAAAGTCATTTTTTTTTGAATAATATAGTAATATTAATATGTTGACCGTTCAACAAAGGTTAACATAATAAAAAGCCAAAAGAATCAATATCACTGTGATTGACAGTAATATTACTATAACAACAGTAATATTACTGTCAACCACCGTAATATTATTGTTTTACAGTAATATTAATAATAGACAATAATATTATTACGTTATTCCGTGAATAACTCAAACAAAACAAAAAATCCAAAAAAATAAATAATATTGATGTGGTTGACAGTAATATTATTGTGTTTACAGTTAATTTACTGTCAACAACAGTAATATAATTACGTTGACTTGTCAAAAAATCAAACAAAATTTAAAAAATAAAATAATAAAATAATAATAATATTGTCGTTGACTCTAACTGTATTGTCAACGGCAGTACAATTACATTAATGTACTGTCAGTGACAATATAATGATGCTTTTGCTGCTGCATTTGCAAATGGCCTAAAATCTTGATTTAATTTCTGATTATATTGTTACCACTTTTGTAATGATGGTTTATTCAGAAATAAATGATTACCATATATGCTAATATGCACCCATAATCCGTTTGCTTTTGGTGCGTTTGTGTGGTTTAGGGCATGGTTTAATTTTGAGTTATTTGCACAAATCCACTGTCTAATGTCTAATGGCTAAAAAAATCTTATATTAAAATAACTAGCACAAACCACCCTTTGTATTGTTTTGTTTAGTCCACCACTCCTTACATATTTTTGGCATGTTGACTTAATTGATGTTTACTCTAATTAAAAAATAAAGCAAAAATACAGAAAATACTTAAAAACACGTGGTTATCATCTCTTCATCTCTCATCACATTCTCTGCCGTTGTCGCTGCAAATGGTCCGTCGGAGACGTCCACCAGCTCATTTCCTTCTAGAACTTAGTTCCTAGCTCTGGCAAAATCTCCAAATTGCGAACCACAACACCCATTTGCAACTTCCACGGTGTTCCTTAAAAAAACGAGACTCTTTGCCATTTATTTGATCTTCTAAGAAACCATGGCCCGAAAACTCCGAAGAAACAATCGACAATGCCTCTGCTTCCAAGAACGGCCGCCGCCATCGTACGAAGGTGATGATGGTGGAAGAAACTCATTTTTGGGGCCTTCATTTTTGCTGCCCGGCCTCACTGCCTATCGCCGCACACCTGCGCCGCGGAATGGGGCAACTCAATTGGGAGAAGAGCGACCAATCATCAGCCGTCCCCACTCTAATTGCAAACCCACGTCTAGTTTGCGGTTGTGGGAGGCAGATGTGAAAGATGTGGTGGTGGTGGGGTGGTGCAGAAGGGTTGAGACACTGCTTGGTGGTGGTGAGAAGCAGCGGATGGCTGAGGTGGGTTTTTTTGGGGGGTTTTCGGTAAGCAATTCAGTCCCCTGACTTTGGAGAAGAGGGCTTTCGTGAAACTTCAAGGGACTGAATTGAAAAAATTGAAAACTTTATTTGGGGCTTATTTTTTAAATTTATAATGTAAAGGGTATTTGAGTTTTTTCACGACAAAAAATTTATAATGTAAAGGGTATTTGAGTTTTTTCACGACAAAAAAATTATAATGTAAAGGGTATTTGAGTTTTTTCACGACATGGTTAGTTTTTAGCGTTTTGGTACGGTAACGGTAAGCCGCAATGTTCGGTAGGTATGAGCAAGCAAAATATTTGACAATTGTATCGAATCCACCTCTACTTCATTGGATCGTAAAAACCCAGTACTTTTCTAAGATCTTTTCCTTCTCTTCTAGATTGAACATCAATTGCAATGATTTGATAGTGTTTTTTTTTTCATTGACTTGCATCCATGTTAAATGGCTCTTGAAAAAAACAGAGTATTCTTAAGTTTGTTATAATAAATAATAATAATAATGACATTTCAAGGCAATTTTCGAATTAATTGATCTTTGTTCTAAATTAGGCACATTTCTTTTAGCCTATGATTTATATCAATAAATTAAATTAAAGTTAATTAAAAATAATAAAAGTAAATAAGTACTCCATCTGTTCCACAATAATTATCTCTTTTAAGATTTTTTTTCTCCATATTATATGTCACTTTATAATTCCAATGGCTGCATTAATTACATATTTTTCAATTATACCCTTATTAACTCTCCAACATTCTTTATGCATTAATTAGTAAACAAGGGTATTTTAGTCTATATATATATATATATATATATATATATATATATATATATATATATATATATATATATTCCTAAAATAAGACATATTTATTGAGATTTTTAAGATTTGTGCCAAGATGAAAAACGACACATATTTAAGAACGGAGGGAGTATCTGGTCTTTTATAGAAACAAACCACCTGTTTAAAGGAGTCTATAAAATATAGATACATATTAAATCAAATAAAAGATTGAGAACAAAAATCACAATAAAAATCATTTGAAATTACCCCCACTTTAAAATATAGAACAAAATACAATTTGCACCATGAACTATAGAGTTTTGTACCTAAAACCTCCCTAAATTCCAAAATGTATCAAATTGGCCCCTTTGTTTCTAATCCATTTGTAGTGTGCTGATATTGCAAGTTAACTTTCTGCAGTAAAATTATTTTGACATTTTTACCCTCCATTGCTATATTAATATAAATAAAGATATATACATTCAGCTTCCATGAAAGTGCACGCATGGGTGTAGCTTAACTGGTTCCGGAGGTGGTAAGTTGGTGCAATGTTATAGGATCGAATCCTGGCAGCCGCAGTGTGTGAGATTCAACTCCAATGAGGGTTAGTTCCTTGTGGGCACAGGTCGTTGAGTTACCATGATTTACATTCCTCCATCAAATACTTGTCGGCAGAAGCACCGTTGAGTTACCATGATTTACATTCCTCCATCAAATACTTGTCGGCAAAAGGATAGGGGCTCTGAGGGCGAGGGATTCGCTTTTTCTTTTGGTTACAAGCTTCCATCAAAGTAAAATTAACGATTAAAGTTAATCAAAATTATATTAAACAAATTGATTGCAAAATAAATTCAACTCTCACAAAGAGCCACCCAGATGCTGCTACCCAAATTCAATCTCTTTAAAATTTCTCTTAAAGTTAGAATTCCACTGAAAAACAAATTCCACCGGAATGAATGGTCGAAAAAATCGAGAACCCGTATCTCAGGGAAGAGAGAAATCGGAAGGGAAGAAAAACAAAAAGAGAGTTGTGCATGTAATAGCAAATGGGCACATACCGCATACGACCCTTCTTCCCATACGACCTTTACTTTCCATATGTAATCGTATTTGGTTAACAAAAGGCCTATTTTGTTGAGCTTTTCATATATTTCTTCTTGAGCCGCACCATGGACAGTGTGGTGAAAATGTAAAGATGGAGAACAAATTGAATTGCAAAAAGTTATGTAGCAGATTAAATCTAAGGTGGAAGAATGTGCGCTTAATTACTATGGTTGTACTCAGAGAAAGCAATCCCAACACCGTAGACACAATTTAAGGATAAAACGGTAAATTCACTCATATACTAACGGTGTTATTTTTTTTAACGGTTGACTAAAAATAGTAGGAGTTATTTTGGTACGTTTTATAGTTCAGGGTACAAAAGGTATTTTGCCTAAAATATAATTAGAGTTGATATGACTTGTTTTTGTAGTATAATTGGTGATGAACAATCTGCAATATTTTTATTAGGGCTAAATACAGTTTACACCCCTGATGTATGGGCCTTGTAACACTTACCCCCTAATGTATGAGATGTACCACTTTCCCCCTTAGAGTTTTAGTTAAACGGTCAAACCTTGACGCCGTTAAATTAATCAGCCAAATACCTAAATAGCCCTCCAATGCAAAATACGGTGTTAAAGCAAACAGTCTCTTCGCCTTCTAGCAAAGAAACGTCTTCTGCCTCTCCCAAGAAAGAAATCTGGCTCACTCGATTTTTCTCAATAATGTTTGAAGGATAATTTTTGCTACAAGCGTTGGCCCAGGTTAGTTAAATTTAGCCATGGTAGTATCATTTACCAGTTTTATGTGGGTTCAAAGTTTTCGAGATAATTTCTATTTTATTGCTATTATACTTTATTTGAAAGTAGATTGACATTATCGCATACATTAGAATTGGGAAACTTTTTGTATTTGCAAAAGTTTCGAAAAGATTGTGTTGTAAAAAGTATGGTTTTCAATAATGTTGAGTGAATTTTGCATGGGTAATACATTATTTGACTTTGATAAATTGTCTCTGTTAGTTGTTATTTAATAGGTTTTTTGTGTTGAAAAAAAATGTTTTGCATTTTATATTAGGTTTTTTTTTTTGTTTTTTTCCTATGCAAATATATGTCTTTATGTATTTCGTATGACTTATACAAGCCATTTTTAGTAATAAAAATGTTTGCTTTTGTTTGTAATTTTTGGGTTTTTTTTGCCATGCGATTGTTGATCAAAAGATAGGTTCCATATTTATTTAATCCTGTTATGTTGACTGCATATTTTCTATAGTTTGTGTAATTGAGCAATTCTTTGTTTTTTCATTGTGGTTACAGGAAAATATGGTAATTCCACAAATACCACATGTGGTAGAAGGAGGAACTAGGATGGAGGATATTGATGATGACGGCGATTCTACTTATATGCCTGAAAGTGAAAGTGAAAGTGGGAGTGATATAGTTTCCGACTTTGAGTATTTTGCTGAGAGTGATAGCCTAAGTGACACATGTGATCCAATAGGTGATGAATTCGAGCACATGAATAACTTCATGTGCTCATGTGATAGCCTAAGTGACACATGTGATCCAATCGGTGATGAATTCGAGCACATGTGACACATGGACTAGTGATTTAATAACTATGTTGTGATTACATGAACTTCGTTCTCTCAAGGTCGGAGAATTGATTATTCCAACTATAACAGAGCATATGAACACGTGGACTACGGTTTTTGGTTTCCACAAAATCGAGGATTTACACAAGAAAGAAATGAAGTCCATGAATATGTTGGTGTTTCCGGGCACAGATATGCTCCACAAGGAGTTAGTGAAGCAAGAAAATTCCGATGGTACACAGTTTTTCTTTTATCTTTTTTTTTTAATGTTGTGCCAACAAAATCGAACTATTTTGGCGGTGCCTCTGATTTTGCTTTTTTTTTTTAATGGTGTAGTAGGTGTGAAGGTTTCTGAATCAACTAACAATCAGCCTCAGTTGCCTGGTTTGGTAAATAATTCCGATATTGAACCATCGTTGGAGCAGAAGCAAAATAGTGACGAAGATGATGTGTTGGATTCTGGCCCTTCAAATGCTATTTGTGAATCTGATAATAATACTGCTGCAGCTAATTCCGCTGAGGTGGAAAACGAGCAAAAAGAAGAATCGTATGCTAACTTAAATTCCTCTCCCTCACCTGATGAATGCAATAATAGGCAAATTGGAAATGAGGAGTTTGAGTTTACTGGTTGGGGAGAAAAATAGGCTACTTATTTTTGTTTTTTGTTTTGACTAGACCGTTTGAAATTTTTATTGGACTAGCTTATATTTTGGTTTTGAAAACTCTATTTTGCTATGACCAAGTATGGTTTTTGCTATAGCCAAGTGAAGCTTAGCTCCTAATTTTGTATCGAAAAATATGAAGATGGTATTTAATATGAAAATATTGCTATTTGTGAGTATATGT